AAAATCTTAAAAAAAAAAAAAGCTTTACAATACATGGCATCTTCAATCATATGAAATATGGTATACCAAACATCTTGAACTTCTTTTCTTTAATAACACTATAGATATATCATTTATCAAAATATGTAAAAGCTGTACAGATATTTCTGGCCTATAAATATGGCGATGACGTGCCAGAAACTGAGGGATACAAAGAGCCCTGCTCCGATTTTGGATACAAATAGCATTTCTTGAGCTGCTCTGGTCTAAAACAGACCAGTGTTGTTCTTCCCAGACATTAGTAGGTATGAGGATCACCCAGAGAGCTTGTTTTGGGCCCACCCAAGATTCAGATACAGCAGGACTGAGGTTGGGCCTGAAATTTTACATTTCTAACTAGCTTCCAAGTGATGCTGATGATACAGGCTCACAGACCACACTTTGGGAAGTAATGGTCTTTTTTTTTTTTTTTTTTAAATTTTTATTGGGGAATTGGGGGAAGGGGAACAGACAAGTTGCTGTCGTTTTGTTCTCATATGTGGGATCCGAACCGGGGCCCTCTGGCGTCCCAAGCCAGTTCTTAACCATCGCGCCACTCGGCCGGCCCCAGGAAGTACTGGTCTTTATATGACAGCCTTTTGCCTCACTCCAGACCAATCTCAGACCCCAACACCTAAGCTAGTTCTGATAAATAATTCCTTCCTTTCTTCCTCGATTCAAACAACCGGAGTTTCCACTCTGTATTAGGCACCATGCCAGGTGCTAGATATAACCCCTCAAAAAGAAAAAACAGAAAAAAGTCACAGAATAGAATGTCACAATTATTTTACTGTTATATAATGTGTTTTCTCTCAACATACCTATCTCTCGAGCAAGAATAACACTGCTGAGGCGTATAGGTTGGGTAGACTCAGTAATAAGCACAGCTTTTTGGGAACATAAGGTGCCGTTTTCATATAAAGGCTCAACAGTTACTGCATCATGATGGCTGGAGTGCCTGCCAGAAAAAAGTGCTTAAGAGTATGAAATGAGAATAAGTGAGTTAAATGAACTTTTGGTGGAACAGATTCTCTCAGTTTGTTCATGTTACATACTACCAGGTGTATTTAAATGACATTCTTTAATAGAAACATTAGTTATGGCCACAGGGTGTAAGTGGAAGAGACTGATCAGACAGAACCTTTTCCCAAAGATTCCATGTGCAAAGTTACAGAAGTATCACACTCCTCCTGCAATATTTAAAATTAGATTGTTACAGCCTTCCCTCAGTATGTAAAAATAGGATTGATGTTGTGTTTCCAATAATGGAAGATGTGGCTTTCTCATACTCTTGAGAAATGAGTTTCCTCCAATCCTAGAAACTGGGCTGCTGATATCTAAGATGGACAAGTTGTCTAAATTGTGAGGGGTGAGTCCGACTCAAAAAAAAATCATTAATATTTCTGAATGGATGAATGGAAAGGCTTTCCATGCTAAAAAGATTCCTTGCCTCATCCTCTCAGTTAGGAAATACATTACACTGGGTCATCTCACAAGCCTTACACTTCCTCATGAAATGGGACTCTGAACAAACCTTAGTGCTTCTCTTAGGAGACGGTCAAGGGTAATCTACTCCATTTCGGGTGAACCCTCTGATACCTTGGAGCCCACTTCGGTTAGGTTCCGTCACACCTTAGGTAACCACACAGACTATTGTTGGGTCCCCTCACACCAGAAAATCATGTCTTTCCATCCTAAGTCAGAAAGTCATCCCCCCAGAAGATGAGTACCCCTTGTCCTCACACTTCAAGAGGGTATCCTCATTTAGGCGGAAACACAGGCAGACCTCATCTCCACCCAAAATTAATCTTCTCATATTATAAGAGGTTTATACTTCATGGTCTCTGAGCCTCAGTTCCCTCATCTGTAAAGTGGGAGTCATAGTACTTACAAGCCTGTAAACGTTGTGAGTTCATACAAAGGCAAAATGTTTAAGTACACAACCGTTAGTTGGGGTTTGAGATCCCAACACACCAAAAATCCCCACCCTATTTAGTTAGTGGGGACCTTCACATCCCAAGCTTCTCTGCTCCTAATTAAATTTCCTGTGACCTTGACAACTCCCTCTTTAGTTTTTTACATTGGAAGTTCCCCAACACCTGAGGCCTCCAACACAGGGCTTCCCTGGGCCCTGACAGCAGCTCCCAGTGACAACCCTTGTCAACACACACACACACACACACTAAAATAGCCAGGGTGACATCCCGGGCATTGCTCATACAAGGCCGCACACATAACCTAAAGGTCCCCCCCACTCCCGACACCCCACCGACCTCCCTACAGAGAATGCCCCTTCACACCAAGTGACCACGTAGCATTCCGCGTGGCGTCTTACGTTGCGTGAACCCCTCCCATCCTTACTGCGCGGTGTGGGGGTGCATAGCCTTGTTCCCCCACCCCTCACCAAGTGTAGCAGCCCCGCTGCGCCTCCAGCAGGAAGGGCACCCGGCGCGGCTCCCGGCTGAAGGGTAGCAACACCTGTGGCACGTTAAGCTTGTTAGCCACGGTGCCGAGCAAACCCAGAAGCGGCAACAGGAGGCCGTGTACAGGCAGGTGCAAAAACAGCCCTAACCGTCGGGACCTTGGTGCTCCAGGGCCAGGCATGGCGACTGCTGGGTTCAGGTTCCCGCTCAGCTATGGCTGCGCCGGCTGCCCAATGTCAGCCAATCCGCGGGCGGAATGTCAGCAGGAGGTGGGGCCTCGCCCTGGCTCGGAATTGTGGGAATTTTACAAAGCACTCAAGCAATTACTGTGGAAATTTTAGGCACAAACCCAGCCGCCCACTTAAATATTGGATGGCAGATCTTTTTAATAGTAAGAAACAAGCAGAAGTCTTAAAAAAAAAAATTTAAACTAAATTCTCCCAGTTAAATTTCTCCTGTTGTCTACCTTGTTATTTGGCACACCACGCCAAAATCTTTTTTGCAGTAATTTCCATTCAGCATGGGTCCATGCCCATAAATGGAAAAAAATTCCAGTCTCAAGTAATAAGCAGCTGGACGTTGTCAAGAGAGCTCTGTCATTTTTACTACGATGTCAGACTCATGTCCAGCCTCATGGCCAGAGTGCAGGAAATGCCAGGCACTGGTGTCTCAAAGGCAGCTTTGAAAGCTATCCCCACAGCCAGCCGTCTCTAAGCAAATACTGTGAGCACTTGTTAAAATTAACGTTTTCTCCAAATGTCCAACAGAGTATTACCTCAAAGGCTGTCTCTGGGCAGTTTACTAAAACCACATGTATATAGACTATGTGATCAGTATCATATTGTTGAAGTTGTTTAAAGAGCACAGAGCCTAATAAAACCATAGTTTGTAAGAACTAACGCAGTTGTAAAAATTGTACAGCTCCCCCTTAAGATGCCAGCGTTAAATGAAGTAACCTATAAAAGCCTGGTCCATGAATATTATTTCTAATCTTTACATTTATGTGATAAAACGTTATCTTCATTTTACAGACGATGAAACTAAATGGTTTTACATCAGGACACACTAGCACCACAGTGCCAAGTTTTAGACCCAGTTTTTTTGGGTCAGCTTCCGAAGTGTGTACTCTACATTAAATCCTGTTGCTGCCACCCACGAAGATCTTGATTTTTAACCCAAACCATATAGCTCCTGTGGAGAAAGCACATTTGGATTAGTAAATAAAAGTCAAGTAGGTCTGAGGGTTGGAGGGACTGGTTCTTTATTTTAAAAAGACATGTGTCAATTTTCAGTATCAAAACAGTTACACTATTGGTTTTTCTTTCTCCCAATCGGCCCCCAAGGAGACCACACCAAAGGAGAGTACATTTTAAGCCAATAAGCTGCAGGACCTAACAGACCTTACGGAAACCTCACCAAAACGGGGTGCTGGGTAGGGAAACTTGTACAGATCAGCACACTGCCGGACCAGACTGTATGCAAAGCTCTCACAGCCAGACGGGGGTGGCCAGTGTGCTCCAACCCCAAAGAAGCAAAGTTTCAAAATAATATAAAATTTAAAAACAGTTTTGTACATAAGCTATTCAAGATTTCTCCAGCACTAACTGATACAAAGCACGATGAGATGGCACTTTTAGAGACAGCAGCTTCAGACCCAGAAAAGGGTAATGAGATGAGTTTCATATGGCTAAATCAGTGGCAAAAAAAACACATAGCTTTCTTTTCTTTCTTCCAAGGAGGCAGGAGAGTGAACAACTGGTCACCTTCAACGTAAGGGGCACATGATCCATTCTGTGAGCTGTTGGGAAGTGGAGATAGAGATGGGACAAGGATTTGGTCCCAGGCAGAGGTCTCACCATTTTGTTTGGTCACTTCTGATGAAAAAATAAAAATAAAATGGCCCAAAGATACCTTAAAGCTGAAAACCTGAACATCACTTGTTTTTGGCTAGCTCCTAGCATCACCTTTCTGGTTTGGCTGGTACTCTGTACAAAGCAATGAGGTTCCCCATAGTGGAGTCTTTCTCTGGGCTCTGTTTGGCTCTCCATGAGGCAGGCCCATACCTCCTTTCCTCCTCTATGGAGGACAACATGCAGTAAGTTGGAAAATTACCTTCTAAAAGTGAGAAAGGGATCAGACTGATGCTTTAGAACTGTGGAATTATTTGGAATGTTTTACAAATGGTGGCTACGTCAACAACAACAAAAAAGGTAATTACAAAACGTGTACATCACAACATGCTTTTAAAGACACTTTGCATTGTGCTCACATTCCCTTAAATGTTGTTCCCAAAGGTACTCAGCCTCCAGCCCCACCGGATTCTCTGGGGAGAGGCAGAGGCAGTTTGGCGAAAAAGACACAGGGGTTGGGGTGGGAGGCAGCAAAAGGAGAAAGCGGCCTTCCAGTTAAAGATCAGCCCTCAGTTTAAAGGTCAGCTTCGGGCAGGCTGGCCTCAGGCGGAGTCGGGGGTCAGAGGGAAGAGCAGCGGCAGGGCGGGACTGGGGCGCTCTACATCTCATTCAGGTCAAGCAGAGTCTGGTCCAGCATCCTTTGTGTACAGAGGTGTTCCTCTTTGGTGCATTTCAGTTTATCTAATGGGGGTAAAGGAGAAACATTACAAAACCCAGAAGTAAGCTGCAAGGTCTACCCACTCTGAGAACTGCAGAAAGCTGCCTTCTCAGCCACAGAAGTGAGCTATTGCGTCACTCGGTTTTGCAGGGCCTCAGGCCTGCTTCCTCAAGTTGCAGGTGCTGCTGGGCTTCTGGGGGAGGGAACTGGGGGCCTTATCAGCCATTTCTTTTCCCTCCCTCACCCAACCAAGCCTTTCAGCTTTCAGTGCCTGAAGGAGGCAGCCCTCAACATCAGACATCCATCCACTCTTCTAGGCTTTGCCCAGGGTACAACACCTACTTGGGGTTTGACTACTGGGAACAGGGATGGGTGTATTTCTACCAGCAGACACATCAGCTCTCAACTTGAAAGGAGTACAGGAGGAGCCTCACGCGCTACCAGCTTTACCCCAAAAAGTAGAGGAAAGGAACTGGTGGGACAAATCTACGAACCCCACAGGTAAGTCAAAGCGTCTCTAAAAAAAACAAAGCCAAGAATACGACCAAACACATACATGTAAGCAAAACCTTAACAGATTTTTGCAGTTATTGTCCAAACTAGCCTGTGACAGTTACTTACATTAAACATAAAACCAGGAAAAAGAAGCAAGAGGGAAAATGCCAGGAAGAGAATGAGCAGCTGAACATCAAAGAGAAATCTAATCTGCCCAGCAAGCAAACCCCTGACTGCTCTGGGGAAGTGGGGAAAATACTCAAATCTTCATCTCGGAGGTGATGGCACACAGACCTTTTCCTCCCCTTCCCTTCTGCGCACCCCGTCAGAAGGGCCCATCACTGGGCCTGTACATAAGCAGTTACATCATCTTGCCAGGTCAGTCCTTTTATTGTTAGAAAACAGCCATGCAAGGGAACGTATCCTACAGTCAGCGCATAAGAGCAGCAAACAAACGTGAAAAACAGAAAACGCTCCCGGATTTTCTCACTGTAACCTCATGCCCCTCCCTTCGTCACCCACAAAATCTCTTGAAAAGGGATAGAAATGCAGCATTGACTACTCCCACTTTACAACGCTCTTAGAAAATCAGTATTCTAACTGCCCCAATTAAAAAGCAATTTGCTTAGGGCAACGTAATCACTTTTTAAAAGACAATCAGCTCTTTGCTGGGGTCCAGGTCAGTGGTGTGAGCAATAAGCTCGGTTTAATGAGCACCAGGGCTCCCTGCCATCAGTCACACAGATCATGCAGCGTTAGCTTCAGTTCATTAGAAAGCAGGCGGTTTCGCTCAAGTTGGCTGTAGAGACGCTCTGCAGCAGCGACAGGGAGGCGAAAACAAGAGGAGAGGAGAAAGGAGGAGAAAGAGAAAAAGGGAAGGTTAGTAGAGTACCAGACGAAAATTTTGAGACTTTCAGTTAGCTGGCATACACATAACATGCATCTATAAGGCAGGATGGATGCTAGGAGGATTCAGACAGAGGGCAGTAAGAGTCAGTCAGGTGATGGAAAGACCAACAGAGGAATAAAATAAAAAACTCAGACTGACAAGTTGGAAGGGCATTTTGAGGGAGAAAAAACAACTCCCTCACAGCACTTATCCCCTCGGCTGAGAAACTGAGACAAGTGAAACAGGGCAAAGGGGTTGGCGTTTAAGAAATACATTTATAATAATCAGCGTTTGAAAGGAATCAAAGTGAACAACAGTTGAACGTTTTTCTGTAAAAGCATTCCATACAGCATTATGAATGGTTGAGTGGGACAAATATCCCTACATGCACTCAATCCTACACTTTCTAATGCTTCTTGTTGTAGGTGTTGGGATAGATCCATCCTAGTGGCCTATTCTATCAAAACCCAACTTCCCCTTTTCTAGAAGAACCCCAACCCTGTTACAATCAACAGTGTACCCAGCTCCAGAGGTGAATTATTAGTACAAGCCAATCAAGACTAGCCTATTCTATTTTTCCAGCCTCCCTTGCAGCTAGTGTGATCATGTGATCCAGTTCTGGCCAATGAGATATAGAGGGTAGTCCGCTGGGGGCTTCTGGGAAAACTTGAGCCTTCCTGCTTGCCTTGAACATGGCATCAGAACTACACATTTCAACCTTAAGAGAAAAGGCCAAAAGAATCACAGAAAGTCCAGCTATATCAGGCCACACTTGCTCAAGTCTAGACTTTTTGTTATGTGAGAAAAATAAATCCCCTATTTATTTTAGCTACTGTTAGGCTGTTTCTTATAATCAAAGCGTTCCTGATACTGGTAGTTAAACGCTCAATTCCCTTGGCTTTGTCTGGGATTTTCTACTTGGAGCACACCTTATAGAGGGGGTATGCAGAATCCAAATCCATCTGACCAGCACGTGGGTAATGGAAATTTGGAGACAGGAAGGCTGAACTCCTTCCCGGTCTACCCCTCGTATCAGCCTCTGAAGTTCACAAGCAAGTTTCTTCCTATGTTTTACAGTCTGTTTCAAAGTGGTCTCACGACCTCAATATGAAAATGATACTTTTCTGTCTTAAAATCAATTGCGTCTGTGGGCTGACTGTAGGCACTGCTCAGGCACCTCACCTTCTGGGCTGAGGTTTTCCCCCAGTTCCACCTGGAAGCTGGGGCCAGTATGGCCTCAATACTTGCCACTTTATGTATACTACTGAAAACAAAGCATACACAGAGGGTGTCAAAAAATTTTAACAAAGGAAAAAACTATTAAAATTGTAATACTCAATATATACCGATAACAAACGATGAATGAATACAAGTCACGTGTATCCATTTTTTGGCACCCCTGGCATGTATAAAAATATCCTGGGAGAGAAAAGCCACACGTAATAGTTGTATTGGGTCGTCAGGGAAGTCATGACGCATTTTTGCATTGAAGAACATAGAAAAATACGTCATGACTTTCCTGACGACTCAAGATTAAGGGGCAAAAAATTAGAGTGAACTTTTAAAATTGCACTGCCCTTTAAGCCAATGGTCCCCAATCTGAATGATACTGCCCCTCCTCTCGTCCCAGAGGGGAATTTGGAAATGTGTGGAGGCAGGTTTTAATTGTCACAGTAACGAGAGGGCCCTACAGATATTTAGTAGGCAGGAGACAGCAATAAGTAGGATTGTTTTGTACACCCCAGAATTACCCTGGACCACATAACAAAAGTCCACCATTGAGAAACACTAGACTAGTCCGTAAGATTCATGAGGCCTGGGATTGGACCTGACAAATAGCAGAGGTTCAAATTTGTGTTGCATTTCTTAAACGTTCTGATGCCATATTACATATAGATTCCCTGTGCAGCCTGATGCCTCTGCGGCATCCATATCCAAGTTAGTTAGTGGGACTCTCACTCCTGTCCAGGAAAGAAGGTGTGACCAGAATCTTATACATCCAAACAGCCTCATCAATGAGGGGTTTGTTCTATTTAGGGAAGAAAAAAAAAAAGAGAAAGTGGGAGCATTTTATTGCCTGAATAAATCCCAGAATGCAGCTCCCTAAGAATGGTATGAGGTCAGAAAGAAACGTGGTTGTTCTCACCTTGAACTTGGTTAAGTTTCTAAGTCTGTTATCTCTAATGACTAAAAATTCAGGATCAGAAACCAGCTCAGTAAAGCTCTTGGTTCCCTGATAACAGCAAACTGAAACAAACAAAAAGGCAATCCAAAGAATCAATTTGGTCTGATGTTCCTTTTAGCCATGCCTCCTAATTAATTAGGGAACAATCCCATGGAACAATCGCTTAGACGTCATTGGTCTGAATCAGGTGAATTTAATTCTGTTACAGGAAAGAGGGGAGGGGCTCAGAGTAAAGGGAACTATACCAGCTGTAAGGCCTCAAAGAATTAGGGAGAACAAACAGATTTTGCTTTTTATTTCTTTATTTACCTCCCCTCAATGTTAAGGCTGGGGAGTATCCAACCAATCCCATGTAAAAGAAAGAGACTGGGTGGGGCTAAGGTAAGACTGCCCGAAATATCAGGTCAGTTCCACCCATCAGGTAACTTGGGGCCCAGCCACCTTTTGTTCTTCACTCCAACAAGAGTAATGAGGAAGTGAAAAATAGACACATCGGTCTGTGGTTCTTAGAAATTAAGACAAGGGGAAAACGTGAAGAGGTCAAGCACGTTACTCAGACCACCAGTGATGCTCAACCCCATCCCCATTGCTGGTCCAGGCTCAAGCATCAGAGGATGGCTTGTGTAAGGGTATATAAGGCACTGAATGGAAGAGTGGACTTAACATGGCACGGTTATTTCCAATTTCACTCAGCTCCCCTGGCTTGCTGCTCTCTACCCTTGCTCACACCAGTCATGCCAGGGGCTACCAGAAGTGTTTATCGCTTTTCTCCTCCATTCTCTCTTCTTTCTAAGAAGCCTTTGTCAACTCGACCCAAACAATGAAACATCTAGGCCCGTACTAGCCAATGCAGTAGCCGCTAGCCACACGTGGCTTGTAAAATTTGGATGAACCAGAAGTAAATAACACGGGAATTTCGGCCCCTAACACCAGCCACATTTTGAGTGCTCACCAGCCAGACGAGGCCAGTGGCCACTGTACTGGACGTCACTGCCCCAAGGTCTGTTGGACAGATCGCTCTAGGTTATACTTCTTGCCTTTTATTTCTTGCCACCAATTCACTCTTCAGCTCCTTGAAATATGCCTTCTCTCCTTGATCTTAATGCTCAAAATGTACCCTCAAATTAATAACGTATCAATGACTATGTCCCATCTTCCTTCGCACCCTGTGGAAGCTGAGAACCACTGGAAACCATCCAGCCCTGCCCTTTATCTAGTTTCCAAGCCACTCACTCTCCTGCCCCTCCAGCCATTTCCGTTTGGGTTCCTCCTCTACAGACTTTTGTCTTTGCTTAATTCTTTATACACTTGAAATCGTCTTTTAGGGTTCTAATACACTTCCATGGCCTAAACTGCCTGCTACCCTATGGCTCCCCAAATCTCACACCAACCCCTCCCGCTCTAGCCCCAGGATTGTTTCACACCTGAATACCTGTCAGTTTTTCAAACCTATATTCTTCCCTACCTTCCCGTCTCCCCAAACTAGGACCACATGACCTCCCTAATGCTTTTAATACCCTTGTCCTGGGCTCCAAATCAGTCCTCCTCACATGTGTGTGGGGGGTGGCGGCTTCAAAATACCATCTTCAGTGCCATCTCTCTTCCACCATTACTCTAGTTCAGATGATCACTCCTGGGGAAACTGCAATAAACTAACCCAGTATTTCCCAAAGTGCGGCCCAGTCACTCCCAGGGGGAGGTGAGATTTCAAGCAGTATGCACTTGTGAACTTCAGCGCACTTCAAACCTCAGATTTCAAATTACAGTTGTGTAGAGTAAGAGCAAAACAAATTTGAAAACGAATCAATTTGAAGAAAGCAGTAATGGAGACAGCATGTGAACATGGCAAAAGCCTCCAAGTGGTATGTAAATGACTGAAATTTGGGAATCACCGTCTTAATGGGTCACTGTGATCACCTGCTCCCCTTCCAATAGATTCTTGACTCAGCTGCCATATGAGAACTCTTCTCATGTGCTACCCTGCCCGGAACGTATCCTTGCTCTAAATCTCCAGTGGCATCCCCATCACCTACAAAATAAAGGCTCCACAGCCTGCTCTCAGTCCACGCCTGTCCCCTGCTCCCCCAAATCTACCTCTACAGCTACTGTGTCCTTCCCATCTCTATCTATGGCGCTATTCTTTTGCTTCTTTTTGACCGAAACGCTCAATATCCACTACACTGCAACCGACCTCTGCTGGTCAAAAATCCAATCTTTTGGAACCCAAAAGAACGAAGAGGCGAGTTTCAGCATGTTTATTAAGCACCTATTACGCGCCTCCTTCCGTGGATCTTGGCTAAGCATCCCCACCGTAAGCAACGCCCTCCCCACTCCGAGTGCCCACAACACTTTACTTATTTGTGGCACTTCATCACACGTCACCTTTAACTTTTTATATATGTTCTTTGTCCTACAATCAGCCTCAGGGTAGGGACGGAGGCCCCATCTTTGATTATCTCGGTCCCTACCTTAACACCGTGCGCCTAGAAGATACTAATAAATGTGTCAGCTGAGTAAATGGATCTGTACCTTAATCTCAAAGGCTGTGGGGCAGGAAGAAATGTTATGGACAGAAATAAACCTGGATTCAGCGAGACCTCAAGTTTTAGATTAGGGAAAACCTCTCTACCTGCCTGTAGTTGAAAAGAAAAGCAAAGTTTAAATCTATACTCTGGTGAGAAACGGAAGTACTTAGATAAGTACGGCTGATAGCTACACCATCCCTGCTGTATAAACTGGAATAGGAGTGTCCAAAACGCTGATATTTGATTCCATGATATAAACCGGGAACAGTTTTACTAGCAGAAATTTATCATATTAATGCGTGTACTAAATCATTACCACCTCGTGCACGTTACTTCAATAGGCATGCTTGCTTTAGTTTTTCCAAGAAGCATCTATCACTTCATATTCCACTAGCACGTACTAGGAGGGAGGTGATGGTAAGCCTCAAATGTGTAAGAAAGGTATCAAAGAAGAAAACATGAAACTGTTGAAACTTCTATCCATGATGTGCTTTTCTGTGACTTGGGATGCTATCACGAGTCAGTTTCAGTGGTAATATACTCGGGTCCATTGGGTGTTCTGAGGGTGCCCCATTTGAACCCCTGGTAAGAGGGTAGAGAATGTGTCCTTCACCGGTCTCTCAATCCTACTGTCCCAGGAGAACCTGAAGAGAGGATGGGGGCATTCCAGGCAGGACTGGAAGAACCTGGAAGGAAAGGACTCGGATGCTCGCCTTCAGCTGGCGGAGGAAGACTGGCGCTCCCATTCTAAGGAGCTGTTACGAGTCCACCACCCTGAGACTCGGAGCAGCTAAGTTTAAAAGGTCAAGAAAAAACAGACACACACAAAAGTGGCTTTGATTATATAAGTCAGAGGAGGGAGAGCCTACGATAGCTGTTCCCCACACCGCACCCCCAAGGCTCCTTCTTGGGGACAGCAGCAGCTTTGTCAATGACACAAATGCCGGGCGGCATGAGGCTTCCAGCAGCTTAACATTTTAATTTGGGGTGAGGGTGGAAGAGAATACATAAGTCGCTTTGTGGCCCCCACCCATCCTAATGTTTTGGGAACCAGCCAGGCTGACCCCAATGGAATCCAGAGCGAATGTGGGGCGTTGGGGTCCCCGAGGAAAGGGGCAGATCCAGGACAGAGCGGAAACGCTGGGAAGTTATCTGTATGAAAAAGTAAGGAGACCCTAGGTGAGAAGGATCGGCACCAATCTGCACAGCAGCTTGGGAGAGGAAGAGGAGCAAAAGGAAGAGACGGCGGCGGGAACGGTAAAAGAGCGCCAGGCCGGACCGCCTGATCACTGGCTGCTTTTCAGCGTTAGTGGGGAAGACACAAAGAGGCAGATTAGCACTAGGATCAGGGATGCACAGCAAACAGGCCACAACTCCAACTCTTTTTGGTGCTTTTTACTACCTGGCTTGTCTGTGACAGAAATTTGGGCATCAAATTGAATTCTTAGGTGAATTTTGCATTTCCAATCACGGGTGTTTGCCCTGAGCTTTAACATCAGGGCACAAATCAAACACACCCAGGGGGTCTGAGTTTTGTGATGGAACATTAGGGCCCAAGACACTGATTCTCTGAGCCCTATTTGCTCCGCTGTACGACATGATTCTGCCTTCCACAGTATCCCTTCTGAGAAGACTAAATTTGAGAAACAAATAGAAAAACCGAAGTGTTGGAATGAAGGGACCAGGAATAAAAATTACATGTAGATCAGGGTTCTCCCATGGATCCAAGATTCAAGGCCTTTCCAGCTTTTGCCAATAAGTAACCAGCACCAACGTTTTAAAGAGAAGGGTGGCGATTCTAGTGTCCACAGGGTCCAACCAAAGCACAGTAGGCAGTCTAAGCCCCGCCCACCCACAGCCAACGCTCCAGCCCCGCTCTGCTGTCAGATAGTTACATAGAGGTCATGTCATTGAGGGCGTGGTCCAGCTCCTCGCTAATGGCCTTGTACTTCAGTTTCTGGGCATAGAGCTCATCTGGACGGGCACAGGAACCACAGGGAAGAACGAGGGGACGGAGTGAAAGGTGTCAAAGGCAGATGAAGAGAGGGAATCATTAGAAATCAGGGAAAGTGTGACCGTGGGTCTAACACCACAGTGAGGAGCACATCTGCCCTGGCAGCTGTAATTGGCCATTTTCAGATCCACTGTCCCTTGGGACCACTGGGCTTCCTGACACCTCTAATCAACTGCAACAAGGGCTGAGGACCTGGGCATAGTCATGACTGGAAATTCCTAGTACCAAAGGCACTCAAGAGGCTACCACTGCCATCCCGTTAACCAAATTTCTAGCAGTGGCTAACGCTTAATTTAACAAAACTAGAAAACGGAGAAAGTACACATTAATACTCAGTAGCTTCACTAGCTGCCAAGCGTGACCAGTACTCTTGGCCCCTCTGCCCTACAGGCTGCCTCCCCAAACTCCCCCAAGTACGAATATCCTGCTACCCAGAGTATACCAAAGGAGCATACTTCAGAGTTCTCAGAGCAAAGTACATTTCCCTTGTTAGGGTGGACGCAGCTGCCAAATTGTGGGGACGGGAAGTATTTAGAAAGCCCCTGGGGTTGGTCAGCTCTGAGGCATCTCTTGGAGAGGTCCCCCACGATCTGAGTGGTGAATGGGACTGCCAAACAGCCATGGGGTGACACGTGTGCTTGCTGCCTTCTGAAAGCGTGACTACCATCTCAGCCCACAGACTAAAGATTTAAGACTCCTCAAGTGGAAGTCAGTACAGCCATGACCAGTGACCTCCCCCCAAGGGAAGGAGGCAAATTCCAGAATTGAGGTCAAGTCTTACTAAAGGAAAAGATTAAAACGTAAAAATCCAATTCTAGGTTTGGACCCACTTCAGCTGCTTGGGGCAGAGGACAGGGCACAGGACGCATGCCAGGTCACTACCGACTCCCTTTCGTGCCCAGGGAAAGAGGGCAACGGTCAGTGGGCACGGTCTTCCTCTCTGTTTCTGTACCGTCATCCCTCTCCCAGGCCCCATACCTTCCAAATCATCGATGGTCTTTTCCAGCTTGGCTACCGACCTCTCGGCAAACTCCGCCCGGGTCTCTGCCTGCGGGACACAGGAAACCAGTTGGCATCAGAGACGAACAAGACAAACAAGACAAGAACCATTATTTCCCCCACCTTCCGCTTCTACACCTTCAGAACCAAAGCCAGCCAGTCGAAGCCTCCATTAAGGCCTAGGTACCTCTAAATGTCCGGGTCCTTCCCTATCACCCCCTCAGCTCACCTCCTTGAGTTTATCAGTAAGAATCTTTATCTCTTCCTCGTATTTGTCTTCTTTTTGAGAGTACTGTAAGAGAAGCAGAATAAACATTTCAGAGTAGAAATTACTCACCCAGACAGAACCTCCCCTGCCCCGCGTTTCCTCCTACTCTGAATATCCTCTCGCGTTTATTTAATGTGCTGATAGGACCAAGAGAAACAGCAAGGCCTGTTCCTGGACCACAGGTCCTTAAAATCCACAAACTAGTGTCCTGACAGCCAGGATACCCTCATTTTAAAGAGGGACCTCAGCTTTAATCTTATTTAGACCAGCTCAGGGAGGCCTTTTTCCTTCCTCCTGCTGAACGCTTAGGGGGAGTGAACCCCCAAAGCCGCATGGCTGACACAGTCCCACATGAAGATAAACACAAGTCATCTGTCTCGAGTGCTAAGCAGGTGTCAAACTGAAACTACCTGCTGTCCCTATCTGTCTGCTGGAAAACCTGTTGGGACCCACGGGATTGTTCAGCACGGCAAAATCGGCCTGAGGACAAGACAACCCCAGGCACCTGAGACCGGGAAATCTCTTTAACTAAAGCAATCAAAGTGCACAGGAACGAGCATTCGCCCCAGGATGCAGACAGAGGGCAGAAAGAGCCCACTTCTCAAGGATTCTAGAAGGACAGGGTTTCTCCAGCCTGTCATTAAGGGCAGGGCCGGGCCAGGCCCCAAAGCCTGTCACTGTCACAAGCCAGCCCCTACCTTCTCCGCCTGAGCCTCAAGAGACTTGAGGTTGTTGGTGACATTCTTCAGCTCCTCCTCCAGTTCAGAACACTTACTGTGGACAGTTTACATAACGCAGGACAGGAAAGGGGAAGAGGAGGAGAATAAAAAAAAACAACAAACGGGAGAGAGACACACAGACGTGAATTGAGCCTATATGTAGAAGAGAGCTGGAAGGCATTATTGGGGAAGAGAGAAGGTCCCGGGTGACCTGCGTGTGACAACCCCCCTCCCTCTGCCATGGACCACGTCCGCAGCTGGACCCTGGGGGCTGGGACTCCATGTCTGGATACCAGCGAAGGAAACACTTGAGAAAAATCACCAGCTCAAGTCATAACTGCTACCTGGGGTGGAGATGGGAACGGCTGCCCAACCCAACGGTCCCCCAAATTGCCCCGGGGAAGGACAGACCCTGTGGAGAGGCAGGGAAGCAACTAGGAAGGAAGACATGAGAGATGCCAGAAGTGGAAAAGAGTGGAGCATTCCATGAAGAGATGAGAAAGCATTCAAATCCACCAGTGGAGGGGAGGCAGCTGCGGAACAAAAACCAAACCACGCCACACACACAACCTCTCCGTGGGTTCGGCGGTTAGTACCTTTTCTTCAGCAGCACTCAGACACTTCAGGTTCTGGTCCATCAGTCTGATCTGCTCATCCATCTCTCGGCAACGGCTGTTAGTGAAAGTCACGGGGACCGCACAAGCCAGGGTGCGGGGAGGGGGGGAAGGTCAAAAGGGAACACAGCAAGGAAACAAGCAGCAAAACGGAAAAAAAAAAAAAGGTTCAAAAAATGGGAAGAAAACACCACCATGGTCATGATATGTCATGTCTGGGAGAGGGGGACACAAGGCAAGCACAAATCCATATGCCTCAGCACTAACTTTGTTAGACAAGGCCCAGAGGTGCCAACAGGGGAGCAGTGCCCGCCTGCCCGTGCCCTAAGTTCCCCCAGGAGATTGGCAAAGGGGTCAAAACAGAGACAGATCTTAAGTCAGTACAGCCACTCCAATGCCTTGAGGACAAACAGACCCCGGGTGGAGGAACCGGTAGGGCCTTCCACTTCACTGTCCACCATTTCTTATTCATCTGTATTTCCCCTCAACTTATAAAATCCTCCCTACAAGATACGAGACCACCTCATTTGGCATCTGCCACCAGTCAGGAGCGTAAGAAAGCCCAAAGTCATTCACAGGGCCGGAAAAAATCACTACAGGGGATGCCCACTCTCTGGGCCCTGTTTAACAAGGTTGAAGCAATGCCAGCTCATTCGCATTAGTGCCCAAGCCAAAGGGGAAGGGACAGAAATTACGGCAAGATTTGGGGAGCGAGATACTCACGACTCTGCCAGTTCAGCTCGCTCCTCTGTGCGTTCCAAGTCCCCCTCGATAATCACCAACTTACGAGCCACCTACGGGAGAAGACCCAGCGACAGCTGAGCAAAGCTAAGGGGCCACTTCCCTCTCACGGGTCTTTTCAGGAGGCCGATGTCACTGGCGAGGACACACGAAACATGCCTCACCTCCTCATACTTCCTATCTGCCTCTTCTGCGATGTGCTTGGCTTCTTTGAGTTGGATTTCCTGCAGTTCCATCTTTTCTTCATCTTTTAAGGCTCGGTTTTCAATAACCTTCATACCTCTGGCAGAAACAAGAAGGACACGTGTGGCAGTGACACTTTGAGGAGCATGGCATCAGCTCCACTCCAAGGGACCCAGAACCGCACCTATAAAAGCCCATTCCTCTGTGCTTGCCACTCGAAAAGCATGCCCACAGCACCCCCCCTTCGTTTAACTGTTTCGTTTTCAACTTTTTCTTATAAAAATAATACACACCCATTAAGAAACTAAATATTTAAGGGTATTACAGTCTAAGGGAATAAAGGGAAAAATAAGTCCCTCCACTTCCAGCCCATTATCTCTGCTCATCAGAGATCATCTTGGACTTCACTATCCTTCCAGAAATGGTGTCTATAGATAAAATGCCAACCCTCGCACCCCCACTCCCCACCCTAAAGGAATCATATGCACTATTCCGCAGCCTCTCTCCCTCCCTCCCCACGGCTTCGACGCCGCCGTCAGCACACACGTAGCTGGACGAACTCGTCACTGTGCTACCGCTCGCCAGCCGGGCATTCGGAATTCTGAAAAGCCCCCGTTTGATCCCAGGCACATTCGCCGCACACCTTTGTTCTAGTTTAACTCACGCATGGCACGGAGCCAGCTGACTATTTTCAACAAAGACGAGTTGTGATTTGCTTCAAGGGCTGTGGTTCTCAACCCTGGGCACACATTAAAATTACCAGAGAAGTTTCAAAAAACGTCAACACTCAGGCCCCTCTCGCAGTGGATTCTAATTGAACCGGGGTGGGATCCTGGCATTCTGGTGTTTCTAAGCTCCCCGATGATCCCCACTCCTCACTCCCATGATTCTAACAGCGCAGCCGGGCTCGAGAGAACTTATAAAAACACTGACTGCTGGGCCTCACCTCCCGAGTTTCTGATTCTTAGATCAGGGGTAGGGGCTTAGAACGTGAATTTCGACCAAGTTCCCAGATGCTGCTGGTCTGGGGTCTCACTCTGAGAACCACTGCTTTAGGGGGACTAATCTCACAAATTTATGATGATCTGTGAAGTGGAGGCCTTCCTGGTGACCCCATTTAAGGTTGAGTCAGAAGGTCCATTTACAGAGAAACATCAAATACCAAAGGGTCACAGGGTCCAGGACCCTTACTCTGTCTGCCTTCAAGTGGAGAAAGTATGCAGAACAGAAGAAAGAGGACTGTGTAACACAGGTAACTGCTGAGAAAAACAGGTCTGCGAGGAAGTCGGGTCAGAGCCAGTCTGGACTCCTCCTGGAATGCCCACCGCACCAGGCCCCTCGACACACCTCTCGCTCTCATCGGCAGCCTTCTCAGCTTCCTCCAGCTTTTGCAGGGCGGTGGCCAGGCGCTCCTGGGCGCGATCCAGCTCCTCTTCAACCAGCTGGATTCGACGGTTCAAGGACGCCACCTCAGCCTCAGCCTGTGTCGGAGGGAAAGAATGGAAAAAGGAAGCAGAGGCCCAGTGAAAAGGAGCAGGGACCAACCATGACAGTAAGATGGAGGGAGGCTGGCCACCATGACGGAAGCCAGAGTCCAGCAGACGGGGTGATACGTGCATTTCCTCCCTTTTCCCATCAACGACGTCCCGTGTGTTCCACAGGAAGAGTGTTTGAAAACGCAGTTCCTCGCCCAGTCCAATGTGTCAGTACCACCCCCTTTCTGGATTCAGTTCAAATTCCTGAATACATGAGTGTCAGAAAAGGTGGCCAGTGAAGGACTCCTGCCTGGGCTCTGGCTTACAGGTGTGTCTCATTCTTCAGCTGCTTTCTTCTTCTAAGTGTCTCATAAGTGGGATGATAAATAAGCAAGGTTTCTTAAAGAGGCAATCTTGGATCAGCCATTAATTTGCTGCTTAACTCAAGGTATCAGCCCTCCGATGACCCTACCTTCACATACCAGGAAGATGACCAGCCAAGGGGCCTGTTTTCCAGAAGAAGCTTCAAAACCAGAGAGCCAAAGTCTGGCGCACTGAGATACCTACCCCCATTGCTGCAACCTGCTCCCCACACCCCCCGAGCTTTTAAAGCTGACAACAAGGAGCTTCTTCTGGCTAAAGTCACCTGCTTTGATGACACTACAAAAAGAACTGGAGGCAGAAGAGAATGTCTCTACCGTGCCTCCGAATTTCTGAATTGCGACTCCTTTCTGTTCCTCGAGTCCCCCCATTAGCCTCACTCTCTGGTACACCCCAGGCCTGCACTCCACAATCAAGACAGGCTGGAGTCCCAGTAATCCCATGCCTCAATGGAACAAGAAACAAGCAAGGCAGCAGCGGCATGGGGAGGAATTCTACTGGTAGAAGAGTCTCCCTCCTCTGACAGCCTTTTGCCCTCCCCACACCTTCACTGGTAGCAAGGACGCTGACTGCCACCATAGAAGAATTTAATCTGCCCGCACGCTACCCAGTTCAGATGCTTATCCAAGTGCTTGGTAAACACGATCTCTCCTCTCCAGTGCAGATTGTGCCTGAATTCTATTACCCTGATTTCCCCCTGGCAGTCAGGGGTGGGGGCAGCTATAGAAATAATCTGGGCCACTAGCCCCTATGGGAAGGGGGGTAGCCCATAAGAATCAGGTTATTTGGCACAGAAATTTCCAAATACAAACATGGGAGGTTCAAGGGACGACGCGCGCGCACGTGTGTGGGGTGCTAGAACCACTGGCCTACAGGAAAACAAAATCAAGACGTCCGTACAAGCTGAAATCGCTAAGAAACCATTTGTGTCTCTAACTATACTACTTAAAATACCACAAAGACAAGTATTGTCTGGTCCTGTCTCTTCCAGGAAAACAGATGTCCCCAGAACAACACACAATTTACCCCACAAATTCAAAAAGTCAAGATTACAAGAACAAGCCAGGCTGTCAGACAAGAACTATGAAACTCTGCCAGTGTGATTTGTCTCACCCTCCCCTTCAGATGCCTAGAACTTAAAAAAGAAAGGAGAATGGAACCAGATTTGGAGGAAGCTCATGAAATCTCAGTCCCCTTCCAGCTCACCAGTAAGTTACCCAAATGGAGTAGAAGATAACAGGCTATGGGGGCGGGGTGTGCTGTTTCCATGACAACGAGCTGGCCGGGTGGTTTCTCCCACAAATCAGCATTTACAATAGAATTCTTCGCAAGGCTGCAAAGGGAGGAGGAGAAAACACATCTTGGTGCCCTCACAAGAGCATGCACACATTACACAAGCCTGTATCGAAAGCAGAACCCAAGACGGGAGTCCCAGCAACAGCCTCCGGACCCTGCGGGGTCGGGGGGCAGTCTCTGTTCTCTTTTTTTCTCCTCCCACGGAGGATCAGTTCTCCTTACAATGAAACAAAAGCTTTGCAGAACCAAGATCTGATGCCGAAGGTTAAAGGGATAAGGAAAGACATCTGACTTTTCCTTCTACCCGGAACCCACACACAAAGGGCCCGTGAACCAGTGGTGCCAAGAGATTGAGTGGGACCAACTTCTGCAAACCAGGATGGGAAACATTAAGTTTCCAGCTAGTCTAATCGTCCTAGATTTAGCATGCCCAGATGTGGGTTGGATCTTTCTGCCCTCCCACCTCTGCCCAGCATGGAGATATACCCTGAGGTCTTTCCATCAGGTAATGACAGGAGTCTCCACTGCCCAGGAAGCAAAGATCCCAAGGGGGAGGAAGGGGAAACAGCGGCCATTCCCTCACCTGAGAAGATGGCTGGCAATGGGCTCAGCTGTGAAATGCCAGCTGAAATGCGTTTCGTTTAAATACTACCATCCTCCACGCTGAGGAGGTTCCCCAAGCCCACCACACCCCTCAAGGCAAGAAACTGATGGGGTACTGGTAGTGGGAGGCAGATCAGGGCCAAGGACAGAAGGGGATTAGCCTAAACCTGGCATTCTGCCACCCTGGGGTTTCTCTTTTTAGACAAAAGCCACAGATGAACTCCAAAGGAAATGAGTAATGGGAATTAGGCTCGAGCCCTGCGGGTAAAGGACTGTCCAGTTCACTGTGTTCACAAATGTATCGACCCTGCGAGATACTGTGTCCTTGGGGACTTTAAATTTCACTAAGAGGGAGGCCAGCTGGAAGGAAGCAGCGCTATCAGCCCCAGAATAAACAAAGGTGGAGTTTAGGGTAGGCACTTAGGCACTTGGGAGCAAAGGGCTATTTGCCTCGCCCTGAGGGGTGTGTTCTAGTGTGAAGGCAAAGAAAGGTAATCAGTAGGAAAGCAAATCTAAACCAAAGAAAGGTGGTAAAGCCTGTTGCTTAGTCCTCCAGACCCCACATACAGGAGAGCCACACAATCAGGCATTCTAACCCCCCTCCAGAGACAAGGAATCTGGGAATAGGTTGGAAGCCCACTCACTCCTCCTTCAGTAGTCTTCCTTTAGACCAGAAAATACCAGGGGAAGAGAGGTAACAGCACAGACGTTAAGGTGAGCTATACACTTACGAGTGGTTAACATGGTAAATTTTATGTGATGTACATTTTGACCACCACCGTCACATAGAAAACAAAAAAGATAAGGAAAAAAACTGCATTTAAATAGTATGTTGCTGTCTGTTTAAATTTAGCAAGACAAGCAAAGGAGAGCCAAAATTGAAAGTGCAACTGACAAGGTGCTACCTCATAAAAAGTCATTTTCCAGGCCAAAACAGTAAAGAAAGATGGCTCCCAGAACAACTCCAGTCTCAGTTCTGGATTCATTCAGCTTCCCAACCAGGGTTGGATGTTCACACAAAGCAACAACAATAACAAAAAATAATTGACAATCCCACTAATAGCATGCGATACCATCAGGGAGTGCTGAGCACCAGAGGGTGGAGCCTGCAAAACCCACACTCCTGATGTCCTAAGAAGGTGACAGGTGGCCCAAGCACCTTTCCTCCTAGGGAGGGGTTCAAAGTTCACTAGAGCAGAAAGTCAAAATATTAAGCTTCCTCAAGCTGGGGAGCAGAAGATACTGGTTTCATCAATATTTAACTATCACCCTACTTCCCCATCTGAGGACTTCCTTACGGAGACCACAGCTCACTAAGCAAAGACGACAAGCTCTGAATGAGCGAGTAGCTGAAGAAACATCTGAAGCTGCTCCCTCTGCTGCCTATCATCCCAGAGTCACCAAGGGTGGAAAAAAAGGAACCAGGTTTTTTCTGCAAGGAAAAAGATGAAACCCTGGGAGTAGGGCGGACCCATAAGACATCAGTCCATCCTAGAACTATTCCTAGGATGCCCAGGCTTAGATGTTGAGCCTAAGACTCTGCAGCTCCACACAGAGTTCCTTCAGCCATCCTCTCTTTCTTCCCGGTTAAGGGGATCTGGTCTCCAGAACAAAGGAGGCGAGAAAGGATCACTAATCATAGAGTCACCAGCCAGTCCATCTCACTTGAATTGACAATTAGAAGTTACGGGCATAATGAACAGAGGAAAAGTCCACTGAGAAAAAGGTGACTGAGGAAGGGCAAGCTCCCAGCATGTCCATGCTCAGTTATAAAAAGAAATTAGTATTCTAACCATCTTGAAGGACTAACCAGAAGGGCAGCTGCCCTCATCGCCTTCCCCCTCCCAAAACATTCTCAGCCACTCCCCAGAGCAGCAGCCAAAAAGGAGGGAAAAAAACTTACCAAGGGAAAGAACAACAGAGAATACCAATAAACCACAAGAGCTCTTTCATTAGGTCTTCACATTTTAGTAGCAGTTCCTTTCTCCTCCTGCCTCCAAAACCAAAGCCTCAACTCCGGAGATCAGTTTCACCCACCAGACTGCACCCCAGACCTTGGAAAATCTTATGGCTCACTAAACCGACTCTCCACCACTACTAAACAGAAAGTGGTTTCAAGGATCACCATTCATTCCATCAACATTTTATGTTCCAACTTTCCATTGGACAAATATTTATGGAACTTAAAAAAAGACACTGGTGGATAATTGGGATAGCAGAATAAAATGACTGGAGCCCCCTGAAAACGCGTTCTGTCTCCATCAACCACAATGCGCCTGCTCAATCAGGAACCCTGACAGAAATTGGCACTCCATCCGATTCTCTGCCACATACACTCCCTTATCAGCTCTGCTTGGAAGAAGTGTCCTTAACCGGCTCAGCTTGCACTGATCAATCACACTTCAGCAATAAAGCCCTGAGTGTGGCAGAAGCTCCTGCAATCCATGTCCTCATGGGTAGGGCCAGACATTTTTCTTGGCTCTTACATCTGCACTAACGAAGGGAATGGAAGTACCATCTCCCCTTTCGCTTCACGTCGACTGAGAGAGTGGGGATTAGCAGCTGCAAGTGCTCCCCATAAGAGGAAAGGGCCCCAGGCTGGAGGATGGGAGGCGGTGCTGTGGCCTCAACCCCTCCAGGGAGGGCACCGCGCTTCCTCTCGGCCGACTGCTGCCTCATTTCCTGAGCAGGAGGGAGGGAGCGGAAAAGCTGCCAGCAGGCCAAGCCGGGGGCTTTCCGGCGGTACCCACCCCTAAGCCCCACCCATTCACAGTTTGTTCGGCCCCGTACCTCCCAGGCCAGAGAAGCACCCACCTACTCTTAACCCTTAGGCCGGAAACCTCAAACGAAACCAAAGTCCCCCCCTCTTCACAGCGAAGTGGGGGAGGGAGAGGCCGCTGAGCCCCTCCCCCCGGCCGCGCCCGGCTCCGTGGGACTGAATGAATGAGCTGGAAGAGGAGGAGGAAAACCACTCCCCAGGCCCCGTGAGGCTCAACTCCTTCGGAGGTCAAGCCGGCTCGCCCGAGCATTCAGTTGCCCCTCGCCCGCTGGAGGTCCAACTGAGGCCAAGCCCCACCCATCCTCGGGGCTCCAACTTCACCTCCGAGTCCACCGGCCCCCCGCGGGCTGTGCTCCGCCGCAAATAAAGGGACCCGGCTCCGGGTCCCCGCTGCTCCTGGCGCCAGCCCCTCTCTCGCGCGCCTCGCCCTCCCCGTACCTGCTCTCGAGCCCGCCTTTCTCCCTCCACTTCCCGCTGGAGGCGCTCGGCCCGCTCCTCTGCATCATCGGCCTGCTGCTGCAGAACCTGGATCTTGCGCTTCACCGCCTCGATGGTGGTGATCCCGGCCATGGTGCCCACCCAGCTGCTGCTCGCGCTCGGCTTCCTGCCTCCTCCGCTCGGCGTTGCAGCCGCTCCTCACCTACTTCCGCCTGCTGCGCCCTGAAATACCGGAACTCACCCACTCGCCAGGAAGTGACGTCACCGTCACCGCGCCCTCCCACCGCCAGGCAGGCGGGAAGGCCGGCCACTGGAGGGAGCCCCGCGGCGGGGAGCGAGGGGCGGTGCCTCCCAGTCGCCTTAGGCGACCGCTTTCCCAGTTTCTCTTGGGTCAGTAAAGGGGGGCGGGGTTGGGAAGAGGGAGGGCTGCTATGGCAACCGGAAGGCGCGTGGTGGTCTAGCTCCGCAGGCTGCCCGTCCTGGTTGGCCACTAGTGTGCTGTCCTTACACTCCCGCCCGTTGGCCCTTCACTCCCCCAGTGACCACCACCCACCCGCAGGGGCACCCTGCATCCTCTGGAACAGAAATATCCTACAAGGCTCTGCTTCCACCCATCCCACACAGGCTCCAAAACCGGGTGCTGCTAAGAAAAGCCTAGACTCATCTTCAAAAGAGCCCCACTCTCTGCAACCTCCTTTCAAAGCCCGCTCAGGTAGGTTCCCTCCCATCTCCTCAGAGTCAATGAACGGAAGTATGGGGGTGGAAGAGACGGGCTGGCTGGCAACGTTCTCATTGCATTTGGCATCAGTTATGAACCTAAGTGGGAAGGAACAGCAGATTCTGAGCCTCAGTAAACTCGACCCTGGTGGCCTAAAAATGTGTCCAGCGCTCGTTGGAGAACAGGAGGCTGGTCAGAAAGTCTGTGGAAGCAGAAATGAGACTGTCATTCTGGGTGCTGGCCAGCAGGGGGCACTATTGTACCTCCCTTTGCCCTGGTGACGAAGCCGACCACATCTTAGACAACCCGAACCGGTGTTGAGAGCACCACTTCATCCCTGAGGCTAGTAGATTGGAACAGATAATCTTCTCTTGATCCAGGGAATCGGGTGGATTGACTCCTGATGGCTTGAAAGCACCAAGGGTGGGCGGAATGGGGCCCAGTGCTATTATTTTCCCGGTGACCAACAATACAACAAATTGGCAGGTGTATATATATCTGTTCCGGTCCCTCCTCTCCCCATCCCCCTACTTTAAAAAGGTGCAATGACTCTGTCCTAACCATTGCATTCCTCTTTCCCCTTTTTTTACCCTAATCAGCTTCTGATTTCATCTCGTATTGAAAGGACCTTACACACGGTTGCACAACAGTGCTAATGATTTTACTGCCACTGCACTGTACACTTTAAAATAATTAAAACGGGCAATTTTATGTTATGCATATTTTTCCACAATTAAAAAAAAAACAGGATCTTCGACAAACTCGGGGAGGAAAAAAACAAAGTTTGGACTAACCTTGCCATAACCTTGACCTTTTTTTGTTCAGGCAGTCCTAGCAAATCCTACACTTTCCAGTAAGGTTTCTCATAATCAGAACTCCCTGTGTAAACATGCGGTTATTGACTCCCCTCGCTCTTCCCCTTAAATCTACATCAAAATAATATACTCTGTTTACTCGTTGATTCATCTCAAGGGCACAACTGAGCTGTGACACCCTCCCCCTAAAGATACATATATTATGTTGCTGATGACTTTGACCTTTCCTCTCTACTTTAAACCTTGTTGCCTCCTCCTATTCAGCGATTTTCCCAATCCCAGTAAACACCTCACTTTCCTTTGTGACCTTTTAAGGCAGGAGTCAGCACTTTTTTCTGGAACGTCCAGATAATAAATATTTCTGGCGTTGCAGGGGGCCACAGGGTGTGGGGATTATTCCCTTGTAGGGAAGAAGCAGACACTATGTTAATGAATGAGATGGCAGTGTTCCAATAAAGCTCTACAAATCCAGGCTGTGACAGGACTTTCCCCACAGGTGGTAGTGTGCTGACCCCCTGCTTTGAGATCAGAAACCTTTCTTCCTTCTTCCACCAGGCCTAACAGATTTTTACCTCCTGCCCTCAACCTTCCTCTCCTGTTTCTAACTGTTCATATCTCTGAGGGCACTTACTTGTTGGGAAAGCTAATAAAGGTGAGAGAAGTTGAATGTTTTGTTTTGTTTTTAAACTCATGCTTTACATATTTAAATGGTTTTTGGTGGATTCCTATATAAATATGAGTTTATTTCAGGTGAATGCACACACACACACACACACACACACACACTCACACAGAGGGTGCCAAAAAGAATGTATACACATTTTAAGAAAGGAAAAAACTGGGGTGACCAGTTAGCTCAGTTGGTTAAAGCGCAGTGCTCATAACACCACTGTTGCCGGTTCGATCCCCGTGTGGGCCACTGAGCTGCGCCCTCCACAACTAGATTGAAACAACTACTTGACTTGGAGCTGATGGGTCCTGGAAAAACACACTGTTTCCCAATTTAAAAAAAAGAAAAAACTATTGAAAATGTAATACTCAACATATACCGATAACAAAAGATGAATACAAGTCACATTTGACTTCTGCAGTTACAAGAGGTGCTCAAAGTGGTTCTCATCAGCGTCCAGACACTGCTGATTACAGGTGAACTGCTGCTTGAGCAATGTTGACCAAGGTGTATACATTGTATACAAGGTGTATACAATGTTGACCAAGTGTACAAATGTACACTTGTATACATTTTTTGGGTACCCCCTGGTATATATTCACTTGAGATATGCTATATATAAATGAATATACTGAGTAGGTCTAGGTGGAGGATGACGTGTGAGTGTATGTGTGTGTATGTGTGTAAAACAGCTTAGGATAGACAGGAATTCATGCCCCGGAAATTCCTGTACCTTTCCGGTGATATTTATGTATTGTCTTGAGCCTCTATGTCTATGTCACTCTCTCTCCCAAAATCTCGGGTTAGACTTGTTTGTTCTCTTCATTGTTCCTGGAAGGAAACACCTCCTCAAGCCCACACATACTGGCTGTTTCAGCCTAAGGACTTTCCCAGAGTTGTTACCCAGCATCTCACAAAACTGTTATTAACCCGACATTGCGCCAGTTAGCAGAAGCTATCTCCAAGCCTGATGATTAGAACCAAAGAGAGCTAGCCATCTATACATGGAACCTAAGCTAGGCAACTCCAGCAGGCTATCAGGCACTAGCCCAAAGCCCTATGGGGAACCTGTGTTTTTTTTGCAGTTTTCCAAGAAGGGAGAATTAATAATTTGCAGTGGCCTAAACTTCTGGAAACTATGACTATGCTATATATGATGCATATGATCTGCTTTGTGTCCCTGACCTCTTGTCTGGCACGGTCCATTTAACAGCACTTACCACTTCCGCGGGCCACCGAAAGTGGTAGAAAGCCAAAGAGATCAGAAACCTAAGAGCAGAGAGGCTGAATGTGAGGATCCGAAGACATTTGTGAATGGCCCTCTGTCTCTCTAGTTGTTTTCCAAAGCCAAAGGCGATTTTGAAAAGCACATGCCCCTATTTTCCCATTAGCTCAGTGCTGAGGATCGGCTGTTCCCATCAACAGCAGGGCACTGTGTTGTGGCAGTTGAGGTTCATTCCCATGGTACTTTTCTTCCAAAAGTCTTTCCTATGTCATCTCTCATTTATCTTTGTGGGAACCGTCAGGGTTGAAGGTGAAGGAAAGTAGGTGATTATGGGATAAAATAAGGTGGGAAAGAGAACTTATTTCATTTTCAAATGGAAAAATCTGGCCCTAGAGAAGCTGAGTAATTTAGCCACGGTCACACAGTAAGGTGTGGTTGGTGGTACCCTTGCCCTCTGAGACGACCCAACATCTAAGAGTCCTCCTTATTTCTGTCACAGTCTATCATCGTCTATAGGTCCTCTATGCTGCCCCATGGGCAATGCTTCTATGGTATCTCCATGACATCAGGGCAGATGTCCACATTGGTCCAGATAAATGAGCCCATATAGGGCCAGGGTCAACGTGACCTCCTCTGTCCCATTATGAAATCTGAGCTGGCTTAGCTGGGCAGGGGAGAGATGACAGTTTCCCTATTAATACACATATCTACGTGCCAAGCCTTGGACACAAAAGCTAAGAATGTAGCATGGGGAGGAGGTGGGATCAGTGATAGCAGTCTGGCCTGAGTCTCTCCCCTTTGTCCAGGTCCTGGGAAAGATACCGAAATGGCTGGGGGTAAGACAAGAACGAGACTTCTACATGTCTTTAAGAAAGAAAGTATATGCCATGACAAGGGTACGCCAGCATGTGGTTCTATGCAGAAATGTATGTGGGTACCTGTGTTTGTGTTCCGTGAATCCACAAGTGTGTGTGGGTCCAAGTGTGTGTGGAATTCAGTCATAGTAACGTGAGGCTCTCATGTATGTTGATGAGGCCCACCACCCCATCTCCCTAATACTCACATCAGCTGCCTTCTTCTCTGCCAGCTCCAGCTTCTCCTGGGCATCCTTCAAAGCTTCAGAATACTTGTCCAGCTCATCTTCTGTCCCTTTCAGCTTCTTCTGCATGGCTGCCAGCTCATCTTCCAGCTATAGGAATCCCAAGAGTGACACACAAGACATGCATACACGACAGTGCAGGCTCAGACCCTGGGCTCTCGAGCCCTGACGGACCCCTGAGCCGAGCCTCTATCTTACCAACCCCAGAAAGACACACTTTCTCTCGTCACTTCCAGCCAGCTGCTCCAGGAGTTATGCCATGGCTTTGGCCTGTGACCCTGTGGTCTCTGATCCTCATATGACCAGGACCTGCTGGGTTTTCATCTAAGACCCTGGGACGGTAAATATCTTAGGGTGTAGATGCCTAGGACTGCATTTAAAGGAAAAGAGATGCTGCATGCCAGGTCCCCGTCTCTTCCTCTAGAAATCAGGAGTTCTTGCAAAACGTGATCTACTCCCACTTATATCAAGGAGATGCACTGTGGCTCAGAAGGGGCCGCTGACTTTCCCGAGATCACACAGACAGTCTGAGACAGGTACCCTAGCTGTCCTCTGCCTATCCAGTAAGGCTGGCGCAGAAGATGCGTCCCTCCCACCCAAAGAAGGAGCTGGCACCAGTGGTCACTGCCTTTTCCCATGAAAACTTTCATTGCCCAGTCTTGCTCCCCCAGGTGAGAGGCACCGGTGCCAGGGCCCACCTGTTTACTTCTTTCCTCCGCCTGCTTCTGCTCGGCTTCAGCTTGCTCTGCCCGGTCCAGAGCATTCTCCTTGTCCAGCTTCAGCATCTGCATCTTTTTCTTGATGGCCTCCATCGCGAGCAGTGGCCGCTGGTGAGCTCACCTGTGAACGCTGGAGAACTGGAGACTAGGGTCAGTGAGAAAGGAGGGGCTGCTGGGGAGTGACTAGGAGTCCCCCAGACTTGAGCCTTTATCTCTGCTCAGGGTCCCACCTCTTGTTCCTCATATGGCCCTTCCGGCTGCCTCCACCCCATCATTGTTCTCCTGGGGGGGACACAGGGTGAGACACTTTGATGGACTGACATCACCAGCAAAGAAAACATGTGGGAACAGCTGAGGCTGATTTTAGACAATGGAAAGTGGGGGAGGGGAGAGGCTCTCCATGACCCTGAAACTTTAAACCGGGCAGCTCCATGGATGTTTTAAAAGAGCAGGGAGAGGGGCAGGGAGGGCACAGAAACAGAAAAGGGTACTTGGGCGATTCTAGAAGGGGCGTTCACCCTGAGGGTCCTAGCTGCTCTTCAGCGGTTGCCTCACTCTCACCTGGGCTGTGTTGGATGCTGAGCACATGCCACTGGTTGAGTTTTACCTTTTGATTCCTGGTATTCAGGGAGCTTGCGCAACAGTGAAGAGGGGAGGTCACTGGTGATCCTTGACAATTCCCCCAGATCCCCAGATCAAATTACTGAGCTATTTTGAGAGTCTCTAATGGGCAAGGACACATCATTCCTCCCTCTTAAGAGGGGATGGAGTAAAAGGACAGGGTTGGGATCTGGAAGGCCAGCCCAGAGCTTCAAGTGGGGTGCGGGGCAGAGTCAAGGCAGAGTCACAGTAATCCAGATGGGATTGTGCCCCGTTTCCCCACAGTGATCTTGAAATAGACCTTTGATGCCCACACCCACCAGGGTCTCTACTGCTCTCTACTCTTGTCCTCTTCGCCCTCTGCTCCCTTCATAGTCTCCATCCTGACCCCTCACCCCAACCCCCAACTCCTCATCCTAATCACCTTTACCAGCTCTGCTCCCCAGTTTAGCTCCAGGCCATGCGCATTCTTCTACTTACAGCCTTGTAACCAACAGGTGGCAATTGATCCCAGGACACCGGCACCATACAATCTGAGAGTAGGCTGGGGAGAGGGGGGCACTGTTCAAGGTGACCAGAGCTATCAGGGGAGAATATAAATGGCTCTGATTGGCCATTCTGTCAGGGATAGACGGGTAGTGTTAATACGAAGCCCCAGCAGTGGGGAAATTGGGACACCCGGCAGGGCAGAGGGCGAAACTAGAGCTCATTCTCTCTCCTTTTTTTTTTTTTTTTATGAGTTTATTGGAGGCAAAACTGATGACAAGTGCTGAGAAGCAAGATCTCAAATGCTCCCTGGAGCTCACTCTTGAAGGAAAGCAGAGACACCAAAGCCCCCTACTGTGGGACTAGGGAACGAGAGGTCCCAGGGTCAGGGAGCAGTGGATAATAAGGTGGAGAGGGGGACATCGACTGAGGAGAAAACTACAAGGTCAGAGGAGATCAGAGATACATCCCTTTCCGTACAAGGGAAATATACAGGAAGGTTTGCTACTCAAATGCCAGCTCTCTCCTATTCTCACATAGCCCTCCAGCTTAAGACTGAAATCCGTGGAGGTTGTTCTCCAAAGGGGTGCTGGAGAGAAAAGGTTCAGTAAAAAAAAGACAGGAGCCCCAGGACCCCAGAGGTGGCGGCAGGAAAGAGTGCGATGCCAAATTGCCCGCTGCTATAAGCATATGTTTGACATTTAGTTGGTTCCTAATTAAACAACCCAATATCAAACATATCACACAGAAGCAGGCAGGAGAGCTCCTTCTCCATGGCCAAGAAAGCACGGAGCAGAAACACCAGGCACCGAGCATGGCTAGGGGGAGAGCCGCGTCCTCGGGGAAGGGCGCCGACCCCTGCTCCTGGCCTCCCAAGACAGCGGGCTCTTACTCTACTGCCCTTCGTGCCATCCGTGCCTCAGCTCCTCTCCTACCAGCGCCTGGCTTTTGCTGGATCACGGTGGCCTGAACCAGGGAGACTATCTGGCGGGCCTCCACGTCCGGGCAGCCATCCTTCCAGAAGCTCCCACACACAGCTTCTCCCCCTGAGGTCACGGCCCCAGCGCCCAGAGGATCAGCAGTGTCAGCAGCTCCTCGTCAGCCTTGCCACCTGCTCTCCTCAGCTCCCTTCCAGCTGCCTGCCCTGAGGCTTTTCAGGGGTGGGGTGGGGGCTTGCACATCCTGCTTTACCCTTCCAACAGAACCCCTAACCTTTCCAGATCACCTCCCTGCTGAGGTGACAGCTGAGGGCCTTCCAGTGGATGCCACCCTGGGCCTGCTCCTAAGTACTGCAGATCAGTAGCCATGAGAAACGTCTAGAATGCTTGGCTGCAGCTTCCCACCATCTTGGCCCTTCTCACCTGCTCCCCATGTCCTCCAGGCATCCTCCTTAAAGTCACCCCTGGATGTCCAGAAGAGAAGAGCGACCCGTCTCCCTGGCAGGCTCCAGCCTGGGCTCCCCAAAACACTTACGGTCTCACCTGCTTGGCAAATTTAAACTAAGAGTTTAGGAGATGGAGGGTAAGGGAGGAAAGCCTGCTGCCGGGAAGCGACCTGCAGTCCTTAGGACTCTCCTTCTCTTCCAGTTCTTTTGACAGCAACAACTCCTGGGCTGGCTTCTCTAGGGGGTCTTCCCTCACGGGGATCCAGCCGCGTCCCTTCCGGGAGGTTTTTCTTCTGAAGAGAATCAGGTCTGTTGCATGTCATGCGGCAGGCAGATGCTTCCCTCGACTGGGGCAAGCAGGAGCCTTAGTTATAGCTGCTCTGAAGGTGGGGGTGCGGGGGGCTCGGGTGGAGTGTGGGGGTGGGAGGAGGATGCTCTACTGTAGCCCCCAGGCCTGTCCCATGTGTCCTTGTCCCCATGAGCCTGGACACACACGTGTACCAACTCCAGTGCCCTTGACGGAGATCGATAGCTCGTCCCAAGCCCCAGTTACTGTCTGTGCGGTGCCTGCCTTCCAGGGGAAGACTAGCAAACGGTGCACAAGCCCCAAGGCGGCACCTGCGGTTGGTGGTGTCTTGTGTCCTGGCTCCTTTGTGACTCGCCGCCCTTTGCACCCTTACCCCCAAGCCCTCATTCCATCCTTTCTCTGAGAACCTTGACCACCTTGGAGAAGCGGAGGCTGGAGGGACAGGACCAGCATAAATTGAAAGGGCTTCAGTGTTCAGGGCACTAGGGGCTCAGAGGCAGACAGGACAGCTGATGTGGGGGAGGGCCAGCTCTCTAAGGACACTGACGGGGTGGCATAACTAGGCAGAAACATCAGATGGCCTCTGAGAAACGCTTTCCAGCTCCCCTGGAAGTAACTTCTAAGCAGCCATTTCAAAATAAGACTGAGCCTGTCTGAGCCAGGGAGCCGGGTAAGACACCAGCCACCGAGGGAAAAGGGACTGGATGGGTGTGATGGGTGAAGTGCTCAACTGATGTGATGAGAGCAGACAGAGCAGGCAGAAAGGACCAGAAGGGATGGGCTCTGGAGGGGGTCAGCCTGCCAATACTGGAGGCAGCCTGGCACTGACAAGCCCTGGGGAGAGGCCAAGGTCAGGGACCAGGCAGAGGGGGTGGGGCGTCCTGCGGGTCCACATGAACACGGGAAAGAGGAATAAACGGGGTTGGTGAGGGAGTGCGGTGTGAGGTGGGGGGCAGCCAGGTAATGGAGAGGAAGTAAAACGGGGAAAAAAACTATTGGAGGGGGGGGGCTTAAAAAAAGAATTTCCCTCCTCCCTTCTAAGTTCTTCTAGCTGGGCTAATAATCAAATTGAAAGAGACAGATTAACAGGAGAAAGTGTCCGAAGTTTATGATACAAATGCACATTGGGGGCGTGCCATGAGAAGGAGACCAGAAACACACTGGCAGGTATATGCCATTGTGGGCAAAGGAGAAAGGAAGCAGGGGTTTGGCATTTCCTGTGGGAAAACAGGCCATTTACAGGGTGCTGAACAGAGTGGGATGCGTTGACACTCGTGACAGACAAATTCCTGCTAGGCAACCAGAGACAATGGGACATGGGGGTGGGGGGAATCTAGTTAGCAGGCTGCGGGAAGCCTTCCTATGGAAAGCTAAAGCGAATATGCTAAGATTCCCTTCCTGGAGTGATCTTTCCATCTGAATCTCTCTGGTGGGAAAAGGGGAGGGCCAAAAGTTCTTTCTGAGTCTTCTGTTTCATAATAATCAGCTTAAAAGCAGTACCCCAAAAGGCACATTTTGGGTGAAAACTTTGGTGCCCTTCGGCAAGAAAACATCTTCACGGGTTACTATTTATTGGGCGGTATGTGCCACCTCTCTGCCAAGGGCTTTCTGGAATCCCCACAGCAGCCCGACCAGGTAGACATTACGTCCATTTTACATGTTAGGAATTGCGACCAGAAAGTTAAAGCAACTCGCTCAAGGCCACACAGGCAGGACGTGACAGAGCCAGGAGTCCAGCCCAGGCCGGTCGTGGGAAAGCCTGTTCTGACGCCAGGCCGTACTGCGTGTGTATGAGAGGCGAGCAGCAGGGGACAGATGCAGGTAGGACGAAAGAGGTGAAGGCGAGGCGGACCTGTGGGAACCAGGGCACCGAGGGCAGGAGAACAGGCAGAAGGAACGGGAGTCTAGGTCTCAGGTTTGTGGGGTAAATCCAGGCCCCGTGCGCGTGGTTCTGTCTCCTATAAAACTCTCACCGTACCTGCCGTTACTCCCCACCAGCCTGTCAGCTCCTCGTCTTGTTCGGTGTAAGAACCCATGAGTGGTTATTGACTTAAGGTAAGAGGGCTTGGGAAGCAGGGCCTCTGAGGGGGCTGGAGGATGAATGGATGTATGGGACAGAGGGACAGGCATGGGATGGAGAATGGCATTTGAGCTGCAGAAGCAGCCAACGTGGGGACCTTGAAGGGCCGGGGTCACAGGGAAATCTCCTGAGGGGGACACGGAGGATACTTACTGTGTGCCAACCACTGGGCTCCCTCCCTGCACACGTTACCTTATTTAATCCTCTCTTTTTGTTGTTTGTTTGCTAAAAGAATTTATTCACATAGCATAATCATTTCCTTTTTATATTTTTTCTTCATTTTTATTTTTCAAGTACCGTTGACATTCAATATTATATTCATTTCAGGTGTATAGCACAGTGGCTAGACATTTATATGATTTATGAAGTGATCCCCCGACAAAGCTTAGTACCCGCCTGACACCACACGTAGTTATAACCATATCATTGACTATATTCCCTATGCTGTACTTTGCATCCCCATGACTATTTTGTAAGTGCCAATTTGTACTTCTTAATCCCTTCCCCTTTTTCACCCTCCCCCCCAACCCCCTCCCATCTGGCAACCATCAGTTCTCTGTATCTGAGTCTGTTCCTGTATTATTTGTTCTTTTATCCTGTTCTTTAGAGTCCACATTGAAGTGAACTCATATGGTACTTGTCTTTCTCTGTCTGACTTGTTTCATTTAGCATAATACCCTCTAAGTCCATCCATGTTGTTGCAAATGGTAAAATTTCATTCTTTTTTATGGCCGAGTAATATTCCACTGTATGTATGTACCACCTCTTCTTTATCCAGTAGTCTGTTGATGGACACTTAGGTTGCTTCCATATCTTGGCTATTGTAGATAAAGCTGCAGTGAACATAGGGATACATAGATCTTTTCTTCGGAAAAATACCCAGAAGTAGAATTGCTGGGTCATAAGGCAGTTCTATTTTTAATATTTTGAGGAAACTCCATACTGTTTTTCATAGTGGCTGTACCAATGTACATTCCCACCAACAGTGCATGAGTGTTTGCCTGTGCTTGTTTTTAAACCTCTTAATGATCCTATGAGATGGGTATTATTGTCCCAATTTTCAGAAGAGGAAATTGAGGCTCAGGGAAGTAACTTACACATGGTGACATGATTCGGTGAAGCCAGACTTTGAACCCACATCGGACTTCCAAGCCTGGCGCTTCTCTCTGAAGCCTGCTCCCTCTCTGTGCTCCTCATCAGTGGGGTACGTAGGGAGAGGAGGAAGCAGGAGCCCTGAGAGTTGAGATGAAAAATGTATATTGAGGGATGGAGACAGGCTCGGGGGAGGAGGGAAGAAAAAGTGTGAGTTTTGCGGTGGAGACTTAGCCACGTGGAGCTGAGAGCACGAAAAGGTCAGTGTGGAAGGATGAGTGACCACGCTGGATGCAGATGGCAGGGTGAGAGAGCACGGAAATGTGCGAGGGTGATCACATCAGACTGATGGGGTGTTTCTGCCACTGTTAGAGGTTGCAGAATGGGGGTCTCTCCGCAGAAGCAGAGAAGCAGCCGGTCGTTGCCAAAGCGGCGGGGGTGGGAAATGGGAATCTTTATTTATTTATTTATTTATTTAAATATTTATTTACTTACTTACTTATTTATATTTATTTTTTTAGCTGAGCCATCCTGCCACCTGCTGGCAGCTCAGCGGCTGCTCAGGTCGGGCCGGGACTCGAACCGCTGTTGCTCAGAGCTCAAACTTTTGAGTGAGCTCTTAACCAACTGAGCCACTCGGCCGGCCTGTGGGAATCTTTTTTTAAAATGGGGGTCTCTCTGGTTTGGGATGTCATTTGAATGTAAAGTGGAAAGGAAGGTTCTCTGCGGCCCATAGATGCATATGATTAGTCAATACTTGGCAGTATCTTTCAAATTTTGACTGTCTTTAGATTTGACGCTCTTTCTGGTCCCCTATAAATCCTACCACTCCTTACATCTGTTATATCACCTGCCTGACCCGTGAAGGCACTGGAGTTTGGAACCCCGTTTTTTTGCAGAGGTGGAAATTCAGACCACCTCACGGTCCCCCAAAACTGGCTGACTCAAAACCTAAACTCCAGGCTTCGTGACCCTCAGTGCCTCTGGAGTAACAGCCACATTCAGAAAAGAGGAGTGGATGTGAGCAACACCCAGAAAGCTATACTAAGGTTATGGCAGCTGCGAATAAGCATATCTGAAGCAAATCAAGACTTAGGACTGAAAAAATGAGGCAAGTGGTCTCAGTTTGGACCTTTAAAGCTAGCTTTATTTGTTAAACCACGATTCTCTCCCATTGTCCATCTCTGCCCACCCCTCCCCCCACTCACATCAACACTGCCTAGCTCATTCTGACCACAAGGCGCCACTCTTGTTCTCACCATTGTTTCATGGATTGTTTCCTCATAGCATCAGGGTTGACATACAAAGGTGAGAGTGGGAGCACCATCTGAAGTCCTGGGCAGGTAACTAGAGCCAGGTGTGTTTGGGGAAGGATGTTCACGGTGGTCGGGGCTCCAAAGTCGAGGTCAGGCATGGTGAGAAGGGAAGGACAGTGTTTCGGATGCTATCAGAGCCTCTCCACATAAAACGCTTTGCCCATCTGAGCTAGTTCCTGTTGGAACTGCCGATGCTCCTTCTCAAAGAGCTGGTGCAGGGCGGCTTGACGGACCTGGTGGGGAGGGCGGAATGCAGTGGGATGTGTGCCCTCTGTGTACCCCCCTCCCCCACGCTGCTCATCTTCTCCCTGGCTGCTTGCCCATCACTGCTGTTCTCTTGGCTCTGGGCTTAGCTGTGACATAAAGCTAGGCAGTAGCATACAGACTGAACACTGGCGGAGAAGCCTACCCAATTTTTTCTTCAGGGTGAAGTCCTATGTTCAGCAAATATTTGCAGAGAGCATCCCATGAACCAGGAACTCTGCAAAGATGGTGACGTGACAGCAACTGAGGACCCCAGGGAGACAGAGGTTTTGAGAGGCAGGGGCAGGGCACTAAAGCAGTTTTGAGCCTCACCAAGATGAAAGGAGCAAGGACTAGACTGCACTTTGGGATTCTGGAATGTTCCATCTGCAGCTGGATGCAAAGAATCACTTAAAAAGAGCTCTGGCATTTGGAGTTACTGTCCGGTGTAATAGTGAAAACCGCGGAGGCAAATAATATGGGTGAGGAGTGGCACAGACTAATAGCCCGGGAGGGGCTCCCCGTGAGCAAAGGTCCAGGGCAGCAGTGGGCGACACTCCAGGTTGCCCTCCAGGACTCACCATCAGGAGTTGCTTGTTGGCCAGGGCCAACTCCTGTACCACGGTGTCCTGCATCCTGAGGGTGGCGTATGGGTTTCTCCTCTGGCTCAGTGTCATCTGCCACAGACAGTGAGTGTGTGAACTTCGCCACCTGCCCCAGGTATAGAGGGAGTGGTTGAATGGGTTACTTAGGAGTGGAGATGAAAACCCCATCAGCGAGGCTGCTTCTTCCCCAGGACCTCTGGGACAGTATCAGCAGACTGCAAGCTCCTGTAAAGGGTGACTAGAAGTGATTTAGGACCTTGTATATATTAAGTACATTATCTCATTTAATCATGCTAACCATGTGTCATATTAACTTCTGCATCACACGGACAAGGAGACTAAAAGTTCAGGTGAGTCACCCAAGGTTGCCTAATGGCAGAACTGGGTATCAAATCCAATCTAAGGATTAACTCATCCCACCATGCCAGCGATTCTCAACCCTGGCTAGACATATTCTGGAATGATTTGTTAAGGTTTTTAGTATGTAAAAGGAACATACATATGTACACATACATATAACATGTATCCTCCACTCAGAAAAACCCTACTGAGATTTTTTTTGTCAGATGCCTAGAGAGTTAAATACATACAGAAATTGAGTACGTGACAAGGGAAAGAGCTTCCTTCTTCTGCCCCAGTCCTTCTCAACAGTTACCAGTTTCTTACGTATCTTTCAGAACAATTTTCTATCACATGCCAGCAAGTATATCTTTTTATTTTTTTAACATGAAACCATGCATTTATATAAGCAGTATTACTTCACAGTTCGGACTTCTATCAGCACAGAGAGATTTGCTTCCTTCTGTTCAAAGGCTGCCTGGCATTTTTGTATCGTCCTTTAAATCAGCTGGGTGGTCTCTAGCTTTTTCACTTTCATAAACAATGCTGTCAGGACCACTCTTGCGTATGTACATCCTCGTGCTTTTGAAGGTATATGTATGTTAAGGTACATTCCTAGGAGTTGCCAGCTCAAAGGATACGTAAAATTTACATTGGTAGATTTCGTCACACTGCCTTTGTAAAAAAGGCGGCCTCAGTCTTGACTCCCACCGAAATTATACGCATTCTTGTTACCTCGGTCTTGGCTAGCCCTGAGTAAAACTTTGAAACCTTGAAAAACAGGCTTATCTTATCCAACCCCAGGCCATTTTAGTCGGAATCTTCTGGGTAAAGACCTAAGTATGTGTTTTTTAAAAAGCTCCCCAGGTGAAGGAAGACAGCCTAGTCTTGGGAGTTTTCTCAACTCATTCAACAAATACCAAGTGCTTACTGCATTCCTACCACGTGATCAGTACAATGCCAGGGAACAAACACGTGTATCCTCCTCAAAAAATAAAAATGAAAACAACAAAAGTTTGCTCCAGTTTTCCTTCAGAGAACGGGTCAGCAAGAGGCAATAAAAACCACGGTGTCTGTAGCCTAACCTGGTGACACTAGGAGGCTAACCTGGGCTTGTGAGAACGAGGGCTGCTTCTGGCCCCTCCATAGCTGTTTCTGTCCCGAAGAGCCCTTAACGAGATGGAGCAGAGCTCAGGGAGGGGAGGAGGGTGAAAAGGTCAAGCTGAAGGGTTAAGGGGAGAAATAGAAGCAGAGATTACCTGTGAGTCATCAAGTTCTTAAGTCCCCGGTCCCTCTGAACCCTCTGAAAACTCTGCAAGAAAAGGCAGTTCTGCTGATCTGCCTTATGCCCAGTACTTCACCCCAGTACCCTATGCTGGTGGGGGACACACATAACCTTTCTTGTTGGAATTTCCTAGTGGCCAATTTCCTAGGGGAGGTGGGAAGAAAGCTCTACTTTCGGAATAGGTCAGAGTAAAGGCAGGGGTTGGTATGGCACCAATGCCTACTGTGTGCCACTCCCATTCCCTCTCAGTCAACTCCTGGTGGACTGATCTGGAAACTTCAAGGGAGCCCCCTCCCACCCAGCCCCTCCTTCCAACTCTGCATACCTCTTCTTCCTTAGCTATCTTTTCCATAGACATGTCTGCAGACTTGCTTGATTCGGTCTTGGGAAGCTAAGCAGGCTCTATTCTGTTTGGTTGTCACCCAGGTTTCAGTAGTCATAGCAACATTTCCTCCTCCAACAATGACCCTAGGCCTAGCAGTTGATTGGTCAGCTGGCCTGTTGCCCCGGAGACCTGAAGGGAATCCCCTCTCCAGCCTATTAGTGACTCAGGCAATTCTGTGAGCAAGGACCCCAGTCCCCATTTCAGGATTTCTTCTGTTGGGGTCCCAAGGAGTATATGTGTGGTCCCAGGCTCAGGGGACCAGTCCTGCCAGGTCGTTGGAGGCAGATCCTCACGCCCTACCTGGTTAGGCAGGTGTGGAGAACAGAACCGTATGTCTGTTTTACTACAGGGCAACTGTAAAGGAATGAATCACATGCTTTACTTTTTAATTGTTCCTTTTATTAAATAATTTATAGTCAGACCACTGCATTGGTCTGACCGTTCTTGCACATTGTCCCACAGCATCCCCAATAAAGGAGCGGGGAAGGAATTTGTCAGGGGTCAAAACATTCCCTTTTCAATTTCTGCACAACAGTATGGACTGCAAGCGGAAGAGACGAGCCCTGCGAGTCATGGAAGTTGTGTTCACGTTTTAACACATCCTGGTTTAAGTGGAGCACCAGGGTCAAGTGTTCCATGTTCCACTCCAGGCCTCACCTGACTTCCCCACCAGCTCCCGTCTGCCTTTCCCACCAATCAGCTCTTAGGATGTGTCAACCCCACATGGTTCCCATTCAGCCATGTACGAAGGGGGAATATGGGAGACACCAAGCTCCGTCACCCCAACTCTCACCCTTGGGATTATCTATAGTTTGGAAAAGGGCAGATGATCAAAATGATCAAAACCAAATGAGGATTTTTACAGGAGCTTTGACAGCAACATTAAGAGAAACATCTGAATTCAATTCCAGAAAGAAGTACTACCAAGGGCAAATCAAGTCTTATCTGATGTTTGGAAACTGGCCCTAAGAAAGGCTGGAGAATGAGCCCCTAGGCATGAGCGCTAAGAGCTCTGGACGACGGAAGTGCGGCTGACCCAGGCGGGGCCTGCTGAGCCAGGTGACCCGAGGGCTGCTGGGCAGGCGGCCGCTGTCTGTCTGGCTCCATCAAGTGCCAAGTCCTCAGCTCCATCACAGAGTGCTCTCCAGGGTGTTGTAGTTGTCCTTGAAGCTCTTCAACTCGAGGAAGTGCTTGGCACGTTTACTCTTCTGACTGGAGGGGAGGTATGTCACCTGGATGGTTGTCGGGGAGACATCAGGAGACTGGGTCAGGTCTTTGGCTGCCGACTGGTGCTGTCGCTGAGCGCTCCCACTGCGTGCTTTCACCCTGAAGGAGAGCGCGGGCAGGTTATGGACAGAGTGAGGACTGATGCGAGAATACAGTTCCAGGCTCATCCAGTCCACACATGCAGCCGTAGCCACCAACGGTCTCTGTCCTATCTCATACATCAGTTACTAAAATCCCATCGGGGAGCTTAGAAACAGTAGAGAGACCAATTTTCCCAGAGTCCCTGCCTCTGCGCAACTTTTCTTCATCTCCCTATGCGTAAAAGATTCACCTATTGTGTGTACATCACTAACGTAATCTCAAGAGTCCCTTGAAAGCTGAAGACCAAAAAATAAAAAGAACTATTGAGTACTTACCACATTAGGACATTGAACTTGGTGCTTTACCAACATCTAATTTCCTAACATCCCAGTATCCCTATATGGTGGTATCACCCCCATTTTGCAGCTTAGGAAACTGAGGGTCCATTAAGTAACTTGCCTGAGGTCACAAAGCTAGCAAATGACAGAGCCGGGATTCAAACCTAGGTTTGTCAGATTTCAGAGCCTATACTGTTTTGACTACCCACTGAACCTTTCTAGAAACTAGAAATCAAAGAGACTAAATTTTTTTTTAAATTATGGTAAACATAAAATTTATCATCTTAACCATTTTTAAATGTTTATAGTTCAGTAGTGTGAAGTACATTCACATTGTTGTGCAGCTGGTCTCCAGAATTCTTTTCACCTTGCAAAAAACAAACTCTCTACCTAGTAAACAGCTCCCCACTCTCCCTTCCCTCCAGCCCCTGGCAGCCACCACTCTACTGTCTGTATGAATGTGACTACTCCAGGCACGTCATGTAGTAGAATCTCACAGTATTTGTCTTTCAAAAAACAATCTGAATGGGCCTTCCAACTGAATTCTAGACCCAATGCCTCTTTCCAACCTCTCCCCGTGTTTTCATTACTGTTCTAAGTAGTTTTTACTGGGACCTTTGGTCTTCAGGAACAAGGCAGTTGATTTTTAGGGATAGAGAGAAGACAGGACAGATGTACCCCTCATCTTTTGAGAAAGATCCATATTCAACACAGCAGACAACAGATGTATTCTTTCTTTTCATGGCTGTTTAACTTTTTATTCTAGACTGGCTTTCCCTCTTTACCGTCTCATTTTAATGTCTGCATGAGCACCATAATGAAACTATGTTAGTACATATTTAAAACGTTCCCAGACAAAAGTCATGATTCTTCTCCTGTAATAAGACACTCGACAGCTGACTCTGTAGTGATGACCCATTTCAGACACGGTTGGTTACCAATGCTTTAAGTGGTAATAAAAAAATGGGTGGCACTTAATTCTTACTTTAATCAGAGCAAGACACAAAAGGACACTAGGACCCTGGCACCTTACTGAGCTGGCCCAAAAGACCCAAGCAGCACAAAGCATGAGCAGCCTCCCTTCTTAGCTTGTAGACAGCGCCTGCTTTCCACTGGGAGCGAGAGGCAGCTCGGCCCGTCGAGGACCTGACGATGAGAACTCTGGATCCTGTTACCATACTGCTTTATGAAGGTCACCCACTGTGGGACGGCCCAGCACGCTCCACCCAGTCCCGTGACACGTTCTCCTCTAACTCACACGGTGGCCAGCTCACTCAGGGCTTCCTGATAGTGCAGGTACTCACTCGGGCCGAAGACCTGAGGAAAGAGGCAGGAAGAGTGAGGCTCTCTCAGGATCCCGTTAGTCCCCTGGAAGACAAAGTGGCCACCCCACTCACCCCTGTCCCATAGCGGGCTGTCTCATAGCCATCCAGCAGGGTGTCAATGAGCGCCTTGCGCACACCCTTGAAAGGTGTACTGGTGTTTCGAAGATCTAGCAGGTAGGAGCGGAAACTCTTGCCCATTAAGGAACGAGGCTGCCGGCCTTCAGCATGAAATGGGATCTCTGAGGAGATAACAGCACAATGATACCTCTTCTCCCATTCGTTAGTCTTTCTAGTTAATTTCCCAAACTTAGAAATGGGTCCAATGAGTTGAGTTGGGGGGAAGTTCTAAAGAATTAAGAAGACCAGAGGTAGAGAGCTGTGTCTCAGTTGTCATTTGGTGATGACAACACAACTGTAAACTATACCAATGACACATGATAGTGTCATTGTCCCATTTACCCTCCCATTTACCCATCCTGGCTTTAAGATCCTGTTCTGGTAGAGACAGAACATATACGACAATGGTCCTAGAATTTAAAAAAAAAAAAAAAAATCCAAGAACCATCTACCTTGGGTTAGTGAAAAAAACAGACCACCTGTCTTTTGTGGGAAAACAAGCAAATTATAACTGTCCAGTTCACAAAAATAAAGGTCTACAGAACAAAACCAGAGAGGAGATGTAACTGTCCACATCATGTTCTTAGGCAAAATAGTTACCCAGTACTCTCAAAACTCTAGGCAATTCCCACCAGCCAGGGATGTGCAGAAGGGACCAATTCTGACACACGTGAAGTGGGCTCTCCCTCTTCCCTGGGTGAGCTTTCGGGATCCCGAATGGCCTGTCAAGCAGTGCTCACCAGAGGCGCGGATGGCATCCAAAGCTTTCATCCTGTACAGATAGTTGTAGCAGTCTGTTGAGAAAGAGAGTGGTCTCTGGCATAACCCTCCAAAGAGTCTCCAAACTCCAACCAGCTAATAAACTGCCTCCCACATGCCATGTACCCAGTAAGAGGACCCACAGCTGCAGCTATGCCAGCGGCTGTGTTACAGCTCTGAGAGCAAAGGAACTCTGAGAGTCTGGGTTCCTCACTGCAGTGTCTCCGAGAGCATGCCACATACTCTGATTTCCCTGGGCTTCCAGCTGTAGCAGTCTTGCATCGCCATCCGCAAGGAGCTGAGGTTCATACTTGATATCCTGGACCCTGGAGAGTCGAATGTCAATCTCTTCTTTTAAGTCCTGTCCAAGTAGAGAAGAGAACACACAATTATTTCCCCTGCGCTCTGCTTCCCATCACTTTGGAAAGGAGCAGAGCTAATGAGCAACTAAGAGAAGAAAAGCAGAGAACATGTTCATTTGGCTGATGAAAATGCAAGATAAGACTCAAGAATTTAAGAAAGAATGGGATTGGGTTTTCTAAGAACCTCTGCAAACTGTGTCTCTAAGCCAGATCCTTTAAACAGCCAGAATTCCTTCAAGTTCTACAGCATCAATGTTACTTCTTTCAACTGGATTTAGAGGACTCTTGGTTAGGTGTTACAAAGAACTTCCTGAGCTGGGAAAAAACCGACAGGAATGAGAAGTCATAATCTACTCTAAAAATCTAGAGGCCAGCCTGCACAGGGCTTACAATAGTTTGGGGACTTATCCTACCTGGGGGAGCATAAAATTTTTTAAGTAGGTAATTCACATCCATGGTATAAAATTCCAAAAGGTACTGAAGGTGTCACCCCTCACTTATCCAGAAGCAACCACTGTTAAGTTTCATATTCATCTCTTACTTGAGAGGATTGGTTGCCAGAACCCCAACAAGATTGTTTTTTCTTGTAACTTATTAGAAACTTCCATTGTGAAATATGTCATACACAGAATACATACAACACATGTGTACGTTTTGAAGTTATAAAAATCATTAAGATGAACACCTGTATCCACTATCTAGTTAATGAACGGACACACTACCGATGGCTTTGAAGCCTTCTGTGCCCATCTCTGAAGGAATGCAATCCCCCAGTCTTAATTTGTCAACAGTCTTAATTTTCTTCACTGTTTTATTATGTCACCCTAAGCAAAATGCTTAACTTTGCCTGGTTTTGAACTTTACACAAATGAAAAAATACTTTAATTCCTCTGCAACGTCTTTCAAATTTTAAATAGATTTCACTGAGGGTCAATTTACCTGCAATAAAATGCATCCATTTTAAGTGTGTAAATTGATGAGTTTTGACAAATGAATATACCCACTCAACCACCATTCCAATCAAGATACAAAACATTTCTATCGCCCCCAAATGTTCTTCGTACCCCTTTGCAGTCAACCTCCCCTTTGCCCTGGGCAACACTGATATGCTTTCTGTCA